TCGAGATGGCTCGAGATGGCTCGAGATGGCGTGTGGTTCAGCGCACTCGAGGGAACGCCAGTCGACGAAGGGCGCGTGTTGCTTGCGAATGGCTCAAAACGAGTGGGTCAGCAGCGTGTTTTTATTCGCGACTCTGGACAGTGTGGCTCGGGCGTCCCAGCAGTGAGCGCGGCTCGATGACCGACTGTCTGACTGAGTGGGCCAGTGCTCAGCCAGGCTCAGCCGGACTCTACTGGCAGGCTGCATACTCCACTGCACAGACCGAGCGCACAGAGAGAGAGAGAGACAGATCCCTCTTGGCTGGCTTGGCTCGACTTGGCTCGCCTTTGGCTGTTGCTCGTCCTCGCGCTGACCTGTCGACGCCAGCCAGCCCTGGCCGTCCTGGCTTACGTGCCGTCTCGCTTGCAGTTGTTCATCCCCTTCGCCCCCCCCGGTCCCCGCGCCTGCTTGCCTCTCGCCGCGCGTCTCTTTTCGCCTCCTCCACCACCACCAACACATCTCTCATCCCGCACCATCATCACCCGTCTGCCTTAGCTGAGACTCGTCTTGTGGTCCTTCTACCTCACCGAGCCCATCCTCATCGCGCGCTCCTCTTCGCTGCCTCGCGTCCATCTCGCTCGATCCTCGCTGTCTCGTCGACGCATCGAACCCAAGGCATCAGCCTCATCCTGCTAGCTGCATCGCTTCCCGACCGCCTGCTCTGCGCATCCATCCGCTCATCGCTACTGCCTCAAGGTACAAGCCCGTGCAGCGAAAAAAAGTTGCGCATCTACGTAGCCGCATCTGCATCTGCATCTGCATCCGCAGCTCAGCAAATCTACTCCGGTCTCGTTTCGGTCACCTCCAGCGTCCGCATTTCCTAGACAATTCGTCCGCACTGCCTCGCAATCCGCCGTCGGTCCGCATCCCTCACGTTCGCTTTGCTCCGCCCTAGCTCCGTCTTTCCAACATGGCCGACTTTGTCAAGCTCTCCATCTTCGGCACCGTCTTCGAGGTCACGACCCGTTATGTCGACCTCCAACCCGTAGGCATGGGCGCCTTCGGTCTCGTCTGCTCCGCAAACGACCAGCTCACCAACACCTCGGTCGCCATCAAGAAGATCATGAAGCCCTTCTCCACCCCCGTCCTCTCCAAGCGCACCTACCGCGAGCTCAAGCTGCTCAAGCACATCCGCCACGAAAACATCATCAGCCTCAGCGACATCTTCATCTCGCCCCTCGAGGACATCTACTTTGTCACCGAACTCCTCGGCACCGACCTCCATCGCCTCCTCACAAGCCGCCCGCTCGAGAAGCAGTTCATCCAGTACTTCCTCTACCAGATCCTCCGCGGCCTCAAGTACGTACACTCGGCAGGCGTCGTCCACCGCGACCTCAAGCCAAGCAACATCCTCGTCAACGAGAACTGCGACCTCAAGATTTGCGACTTTGGTCTCGCACGAATCCAGGACCCGCAGATGACCGGCTACGTCAGCACGCGCTACTACCGCGCGCCCGAGATCATGCTTACCTGGCAAAAGTACGACGTCGCCGTCGACGTCTGGAGCGCCGGATGCATCTTTGCCGAGATGCTCGAGGGCAAGCCGCTCTTCCCGGGCAAGGACCACGTCAACCAGTTCTCCATCATCACCGAGCTCCTCGGCACACCACCAGACGAGGTCATCAAGACCATCTGCTCCGAAAACACGCTGCGCTTCGTACAGTCGCTGCCCAAGCGAGAGCGCGTGCCCTTTTCGCAAAAGTTCAAAAACGCAGACCCCATGGCGTTGGATCTGCTCGAAAAGATGCTCGTCTTCGACCCGAGAACACGCATCAGCGCGGCAGAGGCGCTCGCGCATCCCTACCTCGCCCCCTACCACGACCCCACCGACGAGCCCGAGGCCGAAGAGGCCTTCGACTGGTCCTTCAACGACGCCGACCTGCCTGTAGACACCTGGAAGGTCATGATGTACTCGGAGATCCTCGACTTCCACAACATCGACAACTCGGGCCAGGACGAGGGTCCGGTCCCGCCCGTCGCCAACTGAGCACGCGCAGCCGCGGCTTCCACCACCAACGCTGGGCCGTCAGAGCTAGGGCCCGCAATCTCCTCTGCAGCAGCTACATGCGGCCACCGCCGTCTTCACATTCTCGTCCAGCTGACGCGCCAGCCTGCACAGCACCGCCCTAGCATGCCCACCATCACTCCCCTCATTTCTTCCTCCCCCTGTCGTTCTTCTCCGGCGTCGTTGTAATATACACACAACCTCAACACGCACGTTTCTGGTGCCATATGGATTAATCAAGTGCACATCTCATAGAACCAGCCGACCGACCGGCAGACGCGGACTGGTGCGACGATGGCGAGGAGCTTTGAGGAGTTGGGCGAGAGGGAGTACATGAAGCCCAATGCGGTTGCCGTCTCGAAGCTAGAAACGGGAGGGTCGATTGAGCCGTAGGAGAAAGCCGACGATCGGATCGAGCATCGGCAATGAGGCGCCATGCGGCGGAGCGAGGTGCGAGCGCCTCGAAGCGGGCGCGCGTTGGTGCGCTTTTTGACGGCTTCCCTCCACACGACGCACGGTTCACTTGGGCCTCGCATCCTGCCTCTTGTCTCGACCTCATCCATACGACCGGGCTCTCTCGGCGCTCGGCCCAAGGACTGACTTCGTCTCGACGTAGACACACGCTCTAGGATGAAGGTGTCGACTGCGGCTTTTTGGGGCTGTCTTGTATGTGGGCTTGCGTTGCTTCCGCACCCATTCGGGACAAGAGCGGCGCAGATTCCCTTTTCCATCTCGACGCAGCCGCAGCGTGCGACTGCACCCGCGACGAAATGGACACTGCCACGCGGCAGCAACAATACGGCGGTCGTGTTCGACAAGTACAGCCTAGCGCTGGGCGGGGGGCAGCAGAGGCTCTTTGTGCTTGCGGCCGAGTTCCATCCGTGGCGTCTGCCCGTACCCAGCCTGTGGCGCGATGTGCTGCAGAAGATCCGCGCGGCTGGCTTCAACACCGTGTCGATCTATACGCACTGGGGACTCATCCAGCCCTCGCCGGATGCAGAGACAATCGACCTGACGGGCGTCAATGATCTCGACTTTTTCCTCGCGCTCGCGAAAGAGGTGGGGATGTTCGTGATCGTGCGTCCGGGTCCGTACATCAACGCCGAGACAACGGTGGGCGGCATGGCGCCCTGGACGGTGAAGCTGGATGCAGTGCTGCGTACAAACGATACAGCGTGGCGCAAGGCTTGGAGACCCTACATCGACGCAATCTCGCGGGTGGTCGTCAAGCACCAGCTTGTGCACGACGCTTCGAGGCCTGACGAGCTGCATGGCGGCAGCGTGATCCTGGTCCAGGCGGATAACGAGTACAAGACGGGCAAAGCCGAGCGCGCTTATATGACGGAACTTGTCGCCGCGCTGAAGGAGAACGGCATCAGCGTGCCCATCACGTACAACGATCCTGGTCGCGAACAAAACTTTGTGGACCTGGTGGATCTGTATGGTCTCGACTCGTATCCGCAGCGTTTCGACTGTTCGCATCCCGAGACGTGGGTGCCGATGCGCGACGACTACCTGCAGTACCACATGGACACCAACCCGGACCAGCCGTTCTACATTCCGGAATTCCAGGCGGGCAGCTACGATCCCTACGCCGGCCCAGGGTATGAGGCTTGTGCGCGCATGACGAATGCCAGCTTCACGCGCGTCGCCAATCAGGCGCTCATCGCACAGCGCGTCACCCTTCTCTCGCTATACATGGTGTATGGCGGTACCAACTGGGGCGGACTCGCCGAGCCGGACGTGTATAGCTCGTACGACTACGGCGCCGCGCTCAACGAGCACCGCCAGCCCAACGATAAGTACGCCGAACTCAAGCGCCAGGCGGGCTTTATCGCCGCGTTTCCGGATCTCGCCATGACGGAGCAGATCGCCGACAAGCCCGGGCTCAATATCTCGCAGGTGGGTGATCTCGACGACGAGGACGCCAGCGTTGACCCAGCGACGATCAGGACGACCGTGCTGGAGAATCCAAAGACAAAGAGCAGGTTCTACGTGGTACGGCACAACGACACGTCCGTGTCGCGCCGCACGCGCTTTGCGCTCCATATCGTCTCGCAGGGCAAGGCCGAGGTGATCGGCGCACGACAGGAGCAAGAGGTGGAGAAGCGCATTGGAGTCAACTTCCTCGCTGGTAGGGACAGTCATATTATTCCCGTGGATCAGCAGCTGCCCGGCGGCCTGTTGATGCGCTGGTGCACCGCCAATGTCAATCTCGTGACGACGATCGGCGATGCGCTGCTCATCTCGCTCGACTGGACGCCCGGCCAGCTGGTCGAGTACTCGCTCGCAACAAGCGAAGACGACTACGTCGAAAGCATGCACCTCTTGCGTGTTTCCGAAGCCGGGATTGAAGAGGTCCAGGGCGGCGAGTGGGACACGTTCGTTGCCATGCATTCCGACATTCAGGCGAATCCAAGGAGCATTCGCGCGCGGATGGCGAGCGGCGAAGCGAGCGACCGCTTCGTGGTGTATCGCACAGCCAAGGCGGCGTGGATTATCATCATGTTCAGCGAGACCGCACTCACCAGCGGCCTCTTCTCGGTTCCTGCGCGCTACACGTCGGGCGGCGCCGGGCTGTCGCTGCATCGTCCTGAGTCCAGCCTGGTGTCTCGCTTCTTCGGGCACAGTGAGGACAGTGTGGTGGTGATGCACGTCGACATGCTGCGCAACGCCACGTACGCCTCGACCGACTCGCCGCTCGATACGCTGTACCTGTGCGGTTCGCTGTCCCGCGAGAGCCACACGGCACTCAACGCGCTGCCGGACCTCAAGTACGTCTACTGGAACGGCGAGCGCATCGATGCGCAGGCGGACGAGGTGAGCCGTCGCTTCTACCGCATCCATCTGCCTGGTCCGTCTCGAGCCGCACTGGAATGGACCCCGCCACGCTCCGACCAGCTCGATTGGAGGTGGCGCGACTCGATGCCCGAAGCTTCGGCGGCGTTTGACGACAGCTCGTGGGTGCAGGCGAACAAGACCAAGTCTGCCAACCCGTACACGCGCGATCCCTCGCTCGATACGCAAGGCGTGATCCTGTTCGCGAGCGAATACGGCTTCCATGCGAACAACATTGTGTGGCGAGGGCGTTTTGCCACGCCTAGCCACACGCAGGATGTGCCACGCGACGTGAACATCCGCGTGGAGGGCGGACGCTCGTCGGCATTCAGCATGTGGCTCAACGGCGTGTATCTCGGCAGCGCCGCGGCGGATCGAGAAAAGTCGGCTGCGGGTGCAACGTTCTCGCTTCCTGGCGATGCATTCCAGGCCTCGGGGGATAACGTGCTGGCGGTGCTCCAGGACCACATGGGCATCGAGATGGAGGCAGGCGAACTGCCGATCGGCTTCCAAGAGCAGCGCGGGCTGGAAGCCGTCAAGCTGCCGCGCGGCATTGTTGCATTCAACTTTCCCTCGCTCCGCACCGCCTCGCGCCCCGAGCCGAAAGTGACGTGGAGAGTGCAGGGCAACATGGGCGGCGAGCAGGCGCGCGACACGGTGCGTCGTAGTCTCAACGAGGGCGGCCTGCACGCCGAAGTGCAAGGCTGGCATCTACCCGGCTACGACGCCTCCACCTGGAACGACACACTCACGCACCAGAGCGGGAGAGTCACGATGCACCGAACCACCTTCAAGCTCAATGTGCCGCAAGGTTCGGATGTCGGCGTCAGCTTTGTGTTCGCCACCATCCCTGAGGTGGAGTTGCGCGCACAGCTGTACGTCAATGGCTGGCAGATGGGCAAGTTCGTCAATGCGCTCGGTCCTCAGACCGTGTTTCCCGTGCACAGCGGCGTGCTCAACCACAGAGGTGACAATACCCTCGCCGTCAGCGTGTGGATGTTGGGTGACGCCGAGCAGGAGATGCCCACATGGGATCCCAGGTCGCATCTCAAGATTGACGTCGCGCATCGAGTCAGTGGCGAGCCTCGTGACGGGTACGTCCTCGATGCACCGGGCTGGAAGAAGCTCCGTGCCTAGGCTCTCTCCAGCTGTACAGTCTCTCGTGTCTGGTCGCTTTTGTGCTGAGCACCTATGGCGTTGTTCATGCCGCCGCGAGCTCGGATTTGAAGGTTTTTCTGGGCCATTCGCTGTGCCTACTGCGTGCGTATCAGTGCTCTACTCGGCTTGTGCGAACGGGCTGGATGAGACGCAACGAGAGAACTCAATTCTAGTCAGCACTTCTGTTGGCAATCCTTGTAGTTTCGGCGCGACTTACTTTTCGATCGACTCGAATCCGTCTGCTGGGTTGATGACGGTGAGGGCGGTACCCCTCAATACGACGAGACCAAGGTTGCGCGTCTTTTCGCCCACGTTGCCGTCGGCATCACGCAGCGCCTCGTGCACGTCGTCCATGACGAGGTTCATGAGCTGGTCGAACCCCTTGAGCACGCCAAACACCTCGCGGCCGCCGGCGAACTTGACGCGGATCTTGGTGTCGATGTACTTGGTCAAGTCGAGGATCGCTTCCTTCTTGGGACGTTCCGATGCCGGGCGCTCCGACGAGTTGTGGCCGCCACGTCCGCCGCCCCGGCCGCCCGAGTTGCCGCCGCGACCGCCGCCGCCGCGCGGTCCACCGCGTTGTGAAGGCGCACCGCCTCGTCCCCCTCGCCCCTGCGGCGAGCGAGCAAAAAAGCAAGCAAACAAAGGACCGGGCAGATAGGCGTCAGTACGGGATGGTCGCGGAAAGATCAGAGGAGTCGGTAGGATGCGGGCTTACTCTTTCTGACATGACTACGGCTGTGTGATGTGTGGATGGGGAGAGCTGCTGAAAAGCTTAGTGCGCTGCGCTGTTGTTACGAGCTTTCGCAGTGATACCGGTGAGCGTGATATGGCAGCTGCAAGGTCGACGTTTACAAGGAAGGAGTGGACGGGAGCAGCAGAAGGTGTTGAGAGTGCCAACTGTCAGAAGCGGCGGCGGCCAACTCCACACCCTTTTGCGCCGAGTCGCGGTGCAGAGTGGTCAGCGTGACATAATCAACACCGGCCGCGAAGATGCTGCGTCCGCCTCCACTCCGGAACCCCTTCCATCCTCAGACTCATTCCCGACCCCGCCCAACGATGCTCCTCGATCAACTCACCGCTTCGGAATCATAGCAAAGATGCCAGAACCAACGATAAACGGCACCGCCCATGCGCCGGGAGATGAAGCGTCGGGATCGACGCCGTTCGAGCTGCTGCGCGCAGTGAAAGAGGTGCAAGAACGACGCATCAGCGTCTGGCGCGAATACGACGATGCCTTCGACACCTTTCTCTCCCCCACCTCAACGTCCGGACCCGTCAACGGATCGCAGAACCCCACACCCACACCCATTGACCACGAAGTCGATGCGGAGGGCTCCAATGGTGTTGCGAATGGAGGTCGGGGATGTGCGGGGTGTAGCACGACAACGGTGCCGCTGACGGAAGAGCTGCTTGCGCAGATCCTGCAGATCACCACGCAGGCGCTCATCGAGTGCGGCCACCGCCTGCGCACCATCCAGACCGAACTCGCGCACTCGTCCGCACCGCAGCTAGCCACGCTCGCAGATCGCATCCAGACGCGCGAGAACGCTCTACTCCGAGCCACCGTCCAACGAGACCAGCTGCGCAAGTCAGTGCTCAAACCCAACACCGACAGCCCCGCACAGACGGACGAGGACGAAGCAAGACAGTCCATAGCCTCCCTCGATGCACAGGTCCAACAGACAAAGGCCGACTTGGCAGATCTCATGCAGGAAGTCTACGCCGAAATCGTAGAGCTCCAACTCGACGCATAGCCCTCTCCCAACGCCAAAATCACTCTCCGAAGATATTGTGGGAAGCAAGAACCTGTGAATTGCCTTTCTTTTGGTGTGATATGTGGGGGTGATGAGGATGGACCGACAGCGCAGTAGCGGCGTATGCCGGGCTCTCTTTTTTGGGAAGAGAATGGAAAAAATACAACATGAAAGATGTGTGTGTGCATGTGTGGGGTGCGAGAGGCCGTCGTCGCCGACAGTCCGACGCTGCGATGGCTGAAAGGCTGACTAGCCATCACCGCGCCGAAATGGCGACGGGCATCGTTGCGGGGTGGGATGGAAGTGGGGACGAAGCGCAAAGAGATGACGAAGCTTGAGGGGTTGAAGGGGCGAGTAAATTACTCCTCCTCCTCCTCGGCGTCGTCACCGCCAGCGGCAGCGGCGGCGGCGGCAGCGCGCTTGCGCTTGACACGGCCGGCGCGGGCACCACCGTAGGGCGAGGTGAGGGCAAAGTCGATGTGCTTCTGCGAGTCGAGGCGGACGACAAACGAGGGCACGTTGACGATCTGCTTGCCGACGCGGATGTGGCGCTGGGTGATGAGCACACGGGCGTGGTGGATCGACTTGGCGAGGCCGCTCTTGAACACCTGGGTCTGCAGACGACGCTCGAGGAAGTCCTCGATCTTGAGCGCGAGCACGTAATCGAGGCGCATGCGCGTCTCGTCGAGCACACCGATGCGCACCAGACGGCGGATGATGGCGTTACCCTCGAACAGACGCTTGGGGTCCTTCTCGTCGAGCTTGAGCAGCTCACGGGCCGCACGACGGATCTTGGAGAGGGTGAGGGCAATGCGCCAGATCTCACGCTTGTTGCGCAGACCGTACTCACCAGCGAGCTTCAGCTCGCTGTCGAGACGACCCGACTCGAAGGGACGACGGGGAACCTTGGCGGTCTTGGAGTGGGCACGAGGAGCACGAGGCATCTTGTCTGGTGGAGGAGAGAATGAGAATTAGCCGGATCAAAACAAGGGCGGGCAGCAGCGTGGTCAGTATCGAAGTTGGGCTGACGACGGCTGTAGATGCCTATTTGTGCATGCGAGGGTCAAAGCTCTTGTAATGCTAGGTTGCCTCGATCAAGTCACCCTTGGTGCCGGAACAAAGAAAGAGTACGATGATGATGCTGCAGTAGTAGTGACCAGCGTCGGAATGGCAGGGGAAGATCCTGGCTCTAGCGTCCTCATCCCAGACAAACGGCAAGCAAGCACCGGATTGCAACAATCCAGCGACCGCTGTCCGTTCCCGAGGCACAGACTCTTGATGTAGAGCTAGTTCACATCCTGCCGGCTGGGGACGAACTTGTGATGCTGGTGACGTGTCGAGAATCGATTGGCGAGAGACTGAGAACGGCTGATGCGTCGGCGTGTCTCGGTGGTGCACGTCATAGCGAGCGACTACAGATGCGTCGGGCAGAGCATCCTGGTCGACATGCATGCGAAAGAGATGGTTGTACTGCGATGTCGCTTGGCCAATGCTATGCGCGTCGTGCTGGCTGCACTCGGCAAACCTCTACTTCAACGTGTTGAAGGTCTGACACTGAGAGCGACGAGGGGCCTGCTCGCAAGTGATAGCTGCTGGCGACGTGCTACAGACATTGTTCCATCGTGAGTGGTGTGCGTGATTGTATGCTGGGATGGGCGGTGCCGCCATGCTGAAGGTTGCGCCTCTGCCGTTGGATCATCATCGTGTCGGATACTCTTTCGTTGTCGCTGCTGGCGTAGGTGCCATTGTTGGCATGTGTCGGGATGCTTGGATCGAGGCCACCATGTGCATATCTCGAGCACACGACCGCATGGGATCGGTGCGACTTACCTTGATGGGTATGGTGAGAGACGGGAAGGCAATGGGAGCGCGAGCTTCTGGCGACTAGACCTTGCTGGCTTGCACGCACACCCGCACGCCGACGCCGCTGCCTGGTCTCGAGATCGCCAACTGCTGCTCCCTCGTAGCCCTGTCTGCCCCCCTCTCCGCCTCGAGGGTCGCGTTGAGACTGCTTCAAGTCTTCTTGGTCTTCAGAGCGCAGCTGGCTGCCACTCGCTCTGCCCTGGCCTGCTCTTCCGTGTGGGCCGTCGAGTTGGGCTTGCAGACCGGCAGTGCCTTCGAGACATGGCTAGACTGCTAGGAGGTTGCGAAATTTCGTAGTGCAGAGCGAGGCACGTGATCGAACAAAACAAAATTTAGACTTCGGCCGAGCTTTCGACTTTGCCCTCGCTGCCTGGATTCACTCTCGACTTGGGCCACAGAGAGGCGGCGGCGAGGCAGTCTCTGGCCTCAGGATCCCGGCTGCAGGGCACAGGCGGGGCCTCGGAGGTGCTGGCAGCGACAGGTCCAACGGCTCCGGACGTGGGTGTCGAGATTGCGAGCGCAACGAGGAGCCGCCCAGAAGTTGGAGGACCAAGTCTGGTCTCGAGCTGCGAGAGACTGGCCTGCAGTCCTGTGAGTCGAGTCGAGTCGAGTCCAGTGCGCGCGCCAGTCGAGCCAGAGCAAACGGATTGGAGGTAGCTGCGGACAACATCTTCTTCGTCACCATCATCACCTCAAGAGATCATTAAGTCACAATGCCTGTAAGTTGATGCGACAATCTGCATCGATGCCATGTCAATCCTCGCATCATCGACGTCCGCACGACGCCGATTCGCATCGACAAGTTCCAGCAGCCAGCCAGATACCCAACACAGCAGCCAACTATTCGAAGAAGCACAAGGGCATCCAGTCATGGTACATCGCAGAACAGCATATCCTGCGGCAGACCTGTCGTCATTGTGATCATCCTGTACCGGAGATTGCCACCGATCATCAGGACGATAAAGAGGAAACCGGACGGCGAAGCGACCGCAGCGTAGATGTAGTGGCGGGGCTGAATTCGTGGAGGGTCGCAGGACGATAGGTTGCGTTGGAGCCAGCATGGTCAATTCGTATTCCGGCCATGTTGTCATTGCCACATGCTTCAGCAACGCCGTTTCCAGATGTTCATGCTTTCAGAACGGCTCGGCGTCATGTCCATGCGACACGAGAACCCCCGGCACCATCGAAGCATTCTTCACACACATCGCCACATTGCCTCGAATGGACGTCCGCCTTCGCAGTCGTGAAACACCGCATCGTTGCAGCACGTTCATTTGTGCAAACATGTCGTCCGAGCGTCCATGCGCCCCAGCCTAAATCACGCCATCATTTGCACTCAACAATACGCTCGCACGCGGACAACACTACCACCTCTTCACCCTGTGCAAGCAGCACTGTTCGCATTTCTGCAACTATCGCACCAACATCATGGCGATCGCCACCGACAAACTCTACTAGCACCACCGTTCCGGCACTTCCGACAGGACGTCGATGCGAGGATGGCATTTGCATCTTTGTGACTCCCTCACATCATCGTGGTCCCTCACTGACCCCTTTCCCTCGTCCTTCGTCATCACCGCCAAACAGCACTCTTTCGGTTACAGGGCCCGCACGCGCCACCTCTTCGCGAGGAAGTTCCGCCAGCATGGTCCCATCAAGCTGTCGACCTACCTGCGTCCCTTCCACGCCGGTGACATTGTCGACATCAAGGCCAACGCCGCCGAGCAGAAGGGTATGCCCCACAAGTACTACCACGGCCGCACCGGTGTTGTGTTCAACGTTGCTCCCCGTGCCGTTGGTGTGATCATCTACAAGGTGGTCGGCAACCGATACATCGAGAAGCGCGTCAACGTGCGCATCGAGCACGTCAAGCACTCCAAGTGCCGTGACGACTTCCTGCAGCGTGTCAAGCGCAACGCCGAGCTCAAGAAGGAGGCCAAGGCCAAGGGCGAGCGCGTCCAGCTCAAGCGTCTGCCCACTGCCCCCCGTGTTGCCCACACTCTCTCGATGAAGAACAACACCCCCGAGACGCTCGCTCCCCAGGCCTACGACACCTACATCTAATGGTGTCGTCGTGTTTGGATATCACTGGCTCTCGACTTTTTTTCACTTCTTGCATATGCGCCTCCACCCCCCGTTCGTTGCGCTCTCTCTCGTTGATGCATCTGCCATCGCTTGTACTTCACCCACAACCCAAAACCTCGGTCGAAAGACTGTCCAGTAGTCTCGTGCAATAGCGAAACTCCTCACATGCGAAAACCACCCTTGTGCGGCTGTGTCGAGCGTGCCTGCTTGAGATGAGCCCTGAATACAAAGACCGCCGCCGTGTGTAGGGCAGAGGAAGACAGTGAGAGGTGGAGAGAGCCCGATATCGATCCAATCAGGAAGGATTTGGTCAAAATCGGCGATTCGGGTAGAGGCGCGCTGTCGGGTGGGAACGGCGGCTGCGAAATGTGGAGAAGGTTCCGGTGCTGGCTTTCAACCGCTCGCTGGATGTCGCTGTTCGCCAAGCGTGCTGGCTCAGGTGTGACACCGGGCTCTGCTGGGCCCCCGCACAACAGCCGGGGAAGCCAGGGCCGGGGGCCGTGGCACGGCATGACGATCATGTTCCACAGAAATGCAGCTCTTGCGCATCGTGACCGGGCCAAGCGGCACAGAACCGAGTGAAAGAGTGTTGCGCTCCAGCCTGCATTTGGATATATACAGGCTCGACCGGTAGTCTCGTCGGACCGGTTGCTGCTTCCGCTGTACAGTACAGAACTCTGTCGTGTCCTTTCATTCGACCTGGTCGCAGGATCGCTTCTCTTTCGTCCTCTCAGAGCTTGACCGGGGCATCAAGCCGAACCGCACATCTCGCTGCTTCGATCAACACAGGATTGCAACAGCAACGCGACGCTGCGTTACCGGTGCGCAAAGCAAAAGTCATCGATCCCAGCCCACAGCAACGGTCGCTCGTACGCACGCAAGAGTCACAGCAACGGCTTTGGCTACCTTGCCGTGTTTGAGAGCGCAACCCTTCGTCTGGTCACAGGGTTTGCAGCGCCTTGCATTCAACGGCCAGGGAGGGTTGACGGACGGTAGCTTGCCGCTCCCGCATTTTCGGAGAAAAAATAGCCACACAGGCCCGAATCGCCCTTCTTCGGCCAAGCCCCGAGCGAGCCAAGCACGTACCTAACCGGTCACTTCCGACGAGTCACGCCGATCCGAAGTGCAACTCAATTGGGCCCTTTCCCACGCCTTCCTCCACCCAACTCGATATCACCTCGGCATCTCCGTCCTGCGTGTCCATACGGGATCTTGCCATGCTATCATAGCGCGCATCGCACTGCTTTTTCATTCAGCAGCAGCATAGTGCGGGCACCATGGTCGCAGCAGATTCGGCGTCGTGGGCCGGGCTTACCCGCTCGAGCCAGGCATCCACATCGGCAGCCACACTCGAGAGCTTCCTCAACACCGCAGCCTCACTCGCATCGCAAGCAGCACCCAAGCTCGACTCGCCCCCAATAGCACGCTTCTCCCCAGGCGCACGCACAGCCGCAGCTTCAGCATCCGCAGTAGCGGAGGTCAGCAACCCGACCGATGTTGCTCGTGCCCGTGCGTATCAACAGGTCCACAGCTCCGACAGCTCCAAAACCACCCCCTCCTATACATCCTCCGTGTCTAGCTCCTCATACAAGGACGAGGACGAGGACGAAGGCGAACACCATGCACACACAGCAACGAACCACGCATTTCTGATCACCTACTTTGTCGCTGGCGGTGCTGCGGGCGCCACCTCGCGCACTGTCGTCTCGCCCCTCGAGCGCCTCAAGATCATCATGCAGGTGCAACCTCAGTCGTCCAAAGCCGCTTCCGTGGCCAAGGGCAAGGCCTCGTCCGCGGCCAAGAATCGCGCGTACGGAGGCGTCTGGACGGGGCTGGTCAAAATGTGGCAGGAGGAAGGATTTGCCGGCTTCATGCGCGGCAACGGCATCAATTGCCTGCGCATCGCCCCCTACTCGGCCGTTCAATTCACCACCTACGAGCTCTGCAAGACGTGGCTGCGTAACGACGACGGCGACCTTGACGTCGTGCGCAAACTCACCGCAGGCGCCGTGGCGGGCATCGCGAGCGTGGTGTCGACCTACCCGCTGGACCTGGTGCGCTCGAGGATCAGCATCGCCTCTGCCAACATGTACAACGAGGCCAAGAGCGAGGCGACTTCGCAGGTCAGCGCCAAGGTGTCGCAGGAGGTGCTGAGGGAACAGATCGCGGCGCGCCAAAAGGCAGTGCCGGGCATCTGGCAGATGACCTCGAAAGTGTACCGCGAGGAAGGAGGGCTGCGCGGCCTGTATCGCGGCTGCGTACCTACCTCGATCGGCGTCGCTCCGTACGTGGCGCTCAATTTCTACTTTTACGAAGCCGCACGCAAGCGCATCACCCCCCTCGACGGATCAGAGCCCTCGGCGCTGATGAAGCTCGCATGCGGTGCCCTGGCGGGCTCGATCTCGCAAACGCTCACGTATCCACTCGACGTACTGCGCCGAAGGATGCAGGTGGCAGGCATGAAGGACAGCCAGGAAAAGCTCGGGTACAAGGATAAGAACGCCATCAACGCCATCCAGAACATCCTCAGGGCCGAAGGCGTCACGGGTCTCTACAGGGGCTTGCTACCCAACCTGCTCAAGGTGGCGCCGAGCATCGGAACGTCATTCTTGACCTACGAGGCCGTCAAGGGATTCCTGGAAGTCCACTTTGACGAACTGCATCCCCCTACACCCAAGGAAACCTCCACGCACTAAAAACCTCGCCTTGCTTCACATCACTTGCATACACAATCAGTTCAAATCAAATCTCATCAAGTGTCGCACAGTGACGGATCGCTATGACTGGGAAACGAGGATTGTATTTTTACACTAGACGTCACTGGATGAGAACTGGTCAAGAACTTAGCCCATGGGCGCTTCGGACTTGAGCGAGCTTCTTCCTGCACGCAGGATTTCGTCGACGCTGAGCAGGTTGGAGGCGATGACGGCGGAGCTGTGGAGCATGTGTCTCTTGACCCTGTAGTTGTCCCAGATGCCGAGCGAGACTGGGTCCATTGGTTCGCCCGTCTGGACGTCCAAGCCGACCACGTTTCCCTCTGCCACCTCGTCCTGCAGTGCCACCAGTGCGTCCTGCACGTCGAAACCCGAGTTGGCAGCGAGCGTCTTGGGGATGACGAGCATGGCATCGGCAAACGCCTGCACACCCAGCTTGGCACGTCCCTTGGCAGCCTTCTTGACGCTCGTGGTGAGATGGTTGGATGCAGCGATCTCAAATGCACCGCCGCCCGCGATGAGCGTGGCGTCCTCGATGGCGTTCTTGACCGAGCGCAGTCCGTCGCGCACCGCATCCTGGATCTGCGTCATGGTGTGCGCATTGGGACCCTTGATGAGGATGGTGACCGACTTGGGGTCGCGGCACTCCTCGACAAACGTGTACTTTTCCTCGCCCAGCGTGTGCTCGTACACCAGCCCGGCGTATCCGAGCACGTCCGGGCTGAGGTCATCCACGCTGTTCTGCGCCACACCGCCACAGCACAGCTGGAGCCTCTCCATGTTCCTGCGCTTGGCCCTGCGCAGCGCCAGGATGCCGTTCTTGGCGAGAATGTCGAGCGACATGGGATCGATGCCCTTCTGGTTGAAAATGACAAAGTTCTTCTTCTTCTCGTTGGAGCCCTCGGTGGGCGCATCGCACACCGCCTGCTTGAGCTCGACGATCTTCTTGAGCTTGGCGTCGACGAACCTGCGCTCGCTCTCGACCAGCTTCTCGCGCTGCTCGGCCGACGAGTAGAAGAAGCCCGAGTTGACTTCGGTCTTTTCGTACTCGAGCGACACGTTGAGCGTGAGCACGTACGCGTTCTCGACGCGCTTGGGCATGTCGGCGTGGCGCGCGCCGTGGTCGAGCACGAGGCCGCGCACGAGCTGCGTGTCCGTGTCGGTCTTGTGTTGCATCTTCATGATCTCGACCATGTGCAGGTCGATGGGGTCCTTGATGTTCCACTCGCTCACGCTCTCGCTGCTGCCGTCGGCGGTGGGCTTGGGTGCCTCGATGGTCGTCGTCGTGGCGGGCTTGATGGCCAGCACCGCATCCACAATGTCCGCCGCGAGCTGCGTGGCGAGCTTCGAGTGGAGCTTGGTGGAGAGCGAGGTGGTGGCGACCTTGACGAGCGTGGCGCGGTCCATGTCGGGGCTCTTTTTGAACTTTTCGAGAAAGTCGAGCGCGCCCGTCTTGGCGAGGTCGAAGCCCTCGCTGATGACGCGCGGGTGGACGCCCTCCTGGATGTAGCGCTCGGCCTGCTTGAGCAGCTCGCCGACGAGCAGGACGACGGAGGTGGTGCCGTCGCCGCACTGCTCGTCCTGCGCCACGGCGGTACGTGCGATCATGGCGGCGGTGGGGTTCTGGATCTGCATCTCGGTGAGGAGCACCTTGCCGTCCTTGGTCATCTTGAGGTTGCCCGAGCCGTCGACGAGCATCTTGATGGTGCCGCGCGGGCCAAGGTTGGAGCGCACCACCTGAGCGAGGCCGATGGCGCCGGCAGTGTTGACCTGGAGCGCCTGGGTGCGGCGCACCGACTCGGCGCGCGGGTTGATGAGCTCGATAGCCGACATGGTGCGAGAGTGGGCGCGCTGTCGATCGCCGATGGCCGGGCGGTTGAAGGGTGGGGAGCTACGCTCGTATGGCGTGGGACTCGTGAGGCGTACGAGGAGGCGATGTCCTAGTCGAACGCACGCAAGTCGGGTGTGGTCGGCGGAAAGGTTGTGAGGGTGAGCCAAAGGTGTCCGGGAAGGAAGGTTGGCTGCCGTGCGCGTTGCTCGTCGAGTGAGAATGTGTTGGTCTTTGCAGCGCGCCTGTGCCTGTGCTTCTGGCTGAAGCGCCCGTCCAGAGAGGCTGCGCAACGGCCGAGCCAAGTTGCCGCTCAGCCCAGCAGAGGTGCGGCGGCCCGTCGTGTTCGAAGCGCGAGGAACCTTTTTTCGCACTTTCGCTTTTCTTCTTGCAAGCCCAGCCCAGCGCTGCGCATGGATTGTTTTCGCACGAGAACCGCGCACATCTGTCGGTGACGCTGCGCACGCAGCCTGCTGGCGACCTCCACCTCGCTTTCAAACACCCTTGAACGTCACGCCAGCGCCAGGGTTCAAGGCTAAACATCATCAACGTCCGTACGCTTCTATCCCCGAGGACAGCACACCCCTTCACCCATCTCACGAACATAGCTCGGGCTCGAAGGCTACCCCGCGACCACCCACGACGACTCTTGGCTGCCACTTTTGGTTACGGAACCTGGCGCCAATTTACCGGAGAGCAAGACCGTCGCACCTTCAGCTACTGCTTCTGCTGCTCGGATCTGCTGGAAGTAAAACATCATGGCAACAACAGAATCCAACTATCGCTCCGAGCTCTCGGGCTTTCGATGGGCGCAAGGGCGGACGGACGACTCGCGTTCGCAGGCGGCGAGTGGGCCGTCGAGCTACCTCTCGACGCTCACCAACAGCATATCGGGCTACGTGCCGCTGCGATCCAACGAGCGCACCAACGAGGAAGAGGCGTACCTGAGCCTGAGTCGATGGGAGCGCTTCCTGGGCTTCCTGGCGTGCATCGCGGGCGCGGCCGTGTGCTTCTTCTTCAGCTTCATCTTCCTCTCGCCGCCCATCCTGGCGCTGCGACCGCAAAAGTTTGCGCTGGCGTTCTCGCTGGGCAGCATGCTGTTCATGATCGGATTCTCGGTGCTCTCGGGACCGCTCGCGCATCTCAAGCACATCTGCAGCAAGGAACGACTGCCGTTCTCGATCGCCTACTTTTCGTCTCTCGCCCTCACCATCTACTTTGCCGTCGGTCCGCGCAAGATGCTGCCTACACTCATCTTCGCCGTGATCCAGGTGGGTGCGCTCGTCACTTATTTGGCCGCATACTTCCCTGGAGGCACCACCACATTGCGGTATGGTGGCAGCATGATCCTGCGAGGCGGAGCGTCATTACTCCCAATCTAAGGGGCAAGATGTTTGGATCTGGACTTTTGCAATGCACTCCTTCCCTTTGGCATACGCCGTGCGTGCTGCGTCTCGGTGACGCCGCGATGTCCGCGACCCGAGTCTTTGAGGGACGATGAGATGGACGAGAGCGTAGATGCAACCTGGTCGTAGGCAGCAATGGGTGGATCGAGGCGGCGTGGCGGGATCCGGACTGGAAATGGCACGTGCCTTGTCCGCTCTCGGCCAGATCCGCTGATGCAATCGAGATGTGTCGAGGATGCGCCTCGAAAATGCTCGTGTTTGGACTCGTTTGGGCGGAAGCGCAACAGAGATGGCCGACGATAGCATTGCCGTTCCGTCGGTGTGGGCGCTCCACCACCACGCATAAGCCGGGCTGGCTCCGATGGCGGCAAGGGGCCCATGGCAGCGTGCAGACAGACCCACAAGCGAGTCCAGGGTGCAGCCCAGGGTTAGGTCGGCAAGTCCTCACTCCACCGCGCCCACCGCGTCCAACAGGACCGGAAGAAGGGCTCGGGTCGGACCGCTCCGCCGTACCGAAGTGCCTTCCAAAATCACAATCCATCGCTACCTTGCCTCTTCGGATCGATTAGCACCCTCGTCCGTATTCAATACACACCTTCAACCTGTGGTCACGACCCCGCTCCACTTGTGCAGTCTTCTCATCGCTCAGAGCTTGGCGATGAAGTTCTTTGGATCCGTTGACGGCGCCAAGCAACTCAGTGTGACAGGTGGTTTTGCAAATTGGGCACCGCGCGCGGGCTGACCGGCCAGGGGGAACGTGGAGTCGTCGGCCAAGCAGAATGACGTTGTTGCACCGGAGCGGGGTAGAAGAATTGCGAAAAAAGCCCCCAGCGCGCACAGCTGAGCGGAGACGTGCATTGCTGGTGCACTGCTCGATCGCTCACTCATCGCAACTCCACCAACGTGAGCTTCGACTTCCGACGAAGCGAGTGAGGCGTTTCCCGCGCTTCTCATGCGCCTCTCGAACAACCGACTCGCCCTTTGTTGTAGCGACAGCCCGGAACTCAGCTTTGTGTTCGAGGTCGAGAGCGCAAGCTTGCAATCGATCGATTCCATCGAGTGGGGCACGTTTGACAAGTGGAGGCAGCGTGAGGCGGGAAGCAAGCGAGGGGGCGTCTCAGTGCCAAATCGAGGAACGCGGTCCAGGCGGTGTTCCAGTGTGCATGTGGAGAGTCGGGCCAAGCGAAACGAAGCCATCTTGGAGTGCGCCCGGTCAGTGCGCCCTGCAGGCCGCAACAGCCACGGGGCGCGCTCTATCCGATCCCCAGCGACGCCGGCACTCACGATCTTGGGCGCTGATCCGACCGAACTTCGTGACTGCCACAGGCTTAGCGCGCGGGTCTTCCGAAACGTTGCTTCGAGTTAAGAGTCTCGAGCCCGCAGTGTGACTTTAGTCGAGAAGGTCCGCCGTGCGGTGATGTCCGTGCCCCCGAACAGATCCGCTGGCCGATGCTGATACACGGGTGCAGCTCCGCTCGTCCACCGCACTTTCCCGCACTTTCTGGTCTCGGCTGTGCCGACTCGTATCCAGGCTGAGCCTCCTCCCCCCTTTTGAGTCGGTCCTTCCCCTCCCAGTGAGCCCGCTGCTACCTCTTGCTTTGCGACCATCACCATCATCATCGGCTCCTGTTCTTTGCTGCCTCTTCGGCCTATACATACCCGCCTGTTGTCTTGATCTCATCTCAAGACCGGCACTGTTCCCGACCTTTCCCCCTCTGTCCCGCTTCTAGCCGACACATCGTCGTCCGTCCGCAATCATGGCTGACCGCAGTCACCCCTCCGCCAAGCCCGCCGCAAGGACGGTGCTCAACCTCGGCAACCTCCCTCCCAAAAAGCAGGGCTTCGGTGCCGCCGCCCAGTATGCCCGCACGCCCTCGCGTGTCGACCCCAACAACCCGCCTTGGCCCGCGTACCGTGGCTACCACGAGTTCTCCTTTGCGCACGTAAGTGTCTGCAGCTCAAAGCCTGGCTTGCTTGACCCGCTCGCCTTTGCACACCCACTGATGACTCGATGCTGATGTGCTTGTTTTCACTGTGCCTTCGCACCTGCAGGAAACCATGGGCAAGCGCTTGCCCACCATCCTTGGCAAGGCGGTGGACGACGTCATCAAGACCCTCAATGAGCAATACGAAGAGGAGAAGATCCTCGACTTGGCCAAGTGCATCGAGCGCATGCAGACGCTCATGGACGACCTGCACAAGAACGCCAAGCTGCGCCCCATCATCGACGACGGCGAGGGCGACATCCCGCTGTGGAACAAGGAGATCGCCAAGTTCTTCCGCGGCAAGGACTTCATGAACGCCCCCTGGCTCTTCGCCGAGGCGTACAAGTACCGCCGTCTGCATGAGTGCTTCAGCATTTCCAAGTACTGGAAGGACTACGACGTCTTCTTCCGCCAGAAGTGCGACACCTTCTCGCGCTCTGGCACCGCCGTGTTTGAGCTCTCGACGCGCTTCGCCGAGCCTTTCGCCTACGAGGAGGGCGCCTCCGAGAGCGACAAGCTCAAGGCGCGCGAGCTCCTCTTCCACGAGCTCACCCAGGTGTGCCTGTGGGGCAACGCCACCGACCTCTCGCTGCTCATCAACATGACCGAGGAGGACATCAAGAACCTCCAGTCCACCGGTGGCGAGCATCTCGCCGCTACCGAGAAGAACATCCTCGGCAACCACCTCGACCGCCTCTGGAAGCTCGTCAGCAACATGAAGGGCGGCCGCATCGACTTTGTGCTCGACAACGCCGGCTTCGAGCTCTACTGCGACTGCGTCTACGCCGACTGGCTCATCCAGTCGGGCATCGCCAACGAGATCCACTTCCACGGCAAGCGCTTCGCCTGGTTCGTCTCGGACGTCACGCGCAAGGACTGGGAGTGGCTGCTCAACTCGATGCTCTACGGCTCGCTCTTCCCGCACGCCTCGGACGCCGAGGTGCAGTCGCTCAAGCAGATGGGCCTGCGCTGGAAGGAGTACGAGCGCAAGGGCCAGTGGATCTACGAGCAGCATCCGTTCTGGTGCACCGGCTACACGTTCTGGTCCATCTCGCAGGAGGCACCCGATCTGTTCCTCCACCTCGCCGGCTCGGACCTCGTCATGTTCAAGGGCGACCTCAACCACCGCAAGCTCACCTACGACTGCCAGGCGCCCAGCGACACGCCGTTCGACATGGCCATCGGCCCGCTCGCCAGCGACGACGGCGCGCCCCCCGTAGCCTCGCTGCGCACCATCAAGTCGGACGTCGTCGTGGGTGTGCCGGGCGAAGTGTCGAGCAAGCTCGATGCCGAAGAGCCCGGATGGAGGATCAGCGGCAAGTACGCCGTGGTGCTGCTCTCGGACGGCCTGCCGGGCAAGCCCGTCAGCTTCAACCAGCAGTAGTGTTCGCACGCAGCGTGCTCGGACCCTTGCTGCTTGACGTCGTCTCATCTATCGGCCATGTGTCTAGCTTTGTCTCTTGCCTTTTTGTAGAAATTCATACACGGGAGAAGCGTGTGCAGGGTGAATGGGCGTGCGCGGTGCTTGGATGTGCTGGCTTGGCTTGGAGTGCATGGGACTAGAATACAGATGTGTGGGCGGGATGCAAAGAGAAGGGGAAGTGGCACGACGGGATGCTAGAGCTAATTGTCATCGTCGTCGTCTTGGTTGTTTGCAGCGCGGGCGGAGCGGGCGGCGCTTGTGATTTGGGCGTGGTTGAGTTTGATCTTTGCGTGTTTGGCATTGGCGGTTGCATCGCCCGTTGCAACAAAGGCGGATTTGGTCTTTTCGCGCTGCATGTCGACCTGGTCCTGGGCATTTTCGCCCTGCTTGCTCCACTGGAGGACCAGATGTCTGCCGAGCAAATGCGTGTGTTTGAGCGCTTCAAAGGCAGCCTGTGCCTCGCGTACCGTGGTATACTCGACAAAGCCAAACCCGCGCGTAGTGTTGTCAAACTTCTTGGGCAGTCGAACCGACTTGAGCTGGCCCTGAGACGCAAACAGATCGCGAATGTCCTTCTTGGTCACCTCGAACGGCAGATTCTTGATCAGGATCTTGGTCGATCCACCCGAAGACGAGAGCGATGCAGTGGTAGAGGACTCGGCATTGCGACGTGCAAACGTCACAACAAGCGTGTGCCCGTCCACCACTTTACCGTCCATAGCCTTCTGCGCTGTGCGTGCGGCAGCCACCGACTTGAAGCCAACAAAGCCGTACCCCATCGATAGACGCGCACCAGGTCGCTTCGGGTCGGGCTTGGTCTGCACACGTGCAAAGGCGTAGTCCGAAAGCCCGTGGAACGCGCCAGCCAGCCGGTCGTCCGTGGTGGAGAAGGAAAGGTTCTTGATGTACAACGTCGCACCCTCGGCCGCCTCGTCGTCTGCACCGCCGGCGGCGAGGTTGGCCGAGGGATTCGCCGACGTGTCGATGGTCTTGCCCTTGATCGGCGCCTGCTTGACCACCTTGTCGCCGCCCGTCTTGGACGTCAACACGCCCACGGGCGCCTTCTCGAGGTACAGGATGCCGCCCTTGAAGCGCTTGTACGCAAGCGCGCGGAAGGCCACCTTGGCCTCCGACACCACGGGCATCTCGACAAGCGCAATCGTGCCGCTCGGCGGGATGAGCACCTTGTCCACCTCGCCGTGCTCCTCGAACAGCTTCTGCACCTCGTCGACCGACGTGCCGTACGGGATGTTCTTCACCAGCATCGTCGTGTCGGACCGCCCGGCCTTGGCGCCGGTACCAAAAGCATCGACGTTGATGCCCTCCTGCGAAAAGAACTCGCGCGTCTCCTGGATGATGCGCGTCTCTGCGAGCGCGAGGCGCACGGCCGCATTGTCCGGCCCGCCGTCAGCGCCCGGGTTGAGGATGTCGGACTTGCTCACTCCGAGCCGGTCGGCGATCGACGAGGCCACAGCGTCGGCCGACATGTAGAGCATGGACCAGTTGAAGTCCTTGGTCGCATCCTGCTTCTTCTGGTCGGCGCGCGTCTGCTTGAGCGTCGCCGCCTTCTTGTCCGTGTCGGCAGGCGCGTCCTTGTTGACGGCCGGGAGCAGGTGGAGCAGACGGCCCTGGAAGGTGGAGCCGTCCTTGGCGCGATACGCTGCGAGCGCATGCGCAGGGTCCGAGAACGACACAAAGGCAAGGCCCTTGGATGCCTTGGTCTGCTTGTCAAGTGGAATGTGCACCTGCGCCGTGAAAAGGCCAAGGCAAGCGTCTGTCAGCAAGCTGCGGTTTCCGGTCATTGAGTGAAGGTAAGGATGGCCCAGAGCCACCACGGCAGCGACGAGGACGACGACGGCGACGCCTTTTGGTCAGATAAAGAATATTTTACTATCTGATTCCAGTACTTTTTTCAGCACGGCTTGTAGCTCAGCTGTCCCTATACTATAGTGTCATCACGAAAAGTCGTCGCGGTCGTCGTGTTGGTCGCTGGTGTGGCTCATGTAGACACATCTGTGATGGTAGGGAGGAGGGCGGACTTACCTGCTTGACGGTGCCAAAGCTTTCAAAGAAGCTCTCGATGTCGTCGTCGGTGGCTGTGAAGGGAAGGTTGCGCACAAAGAGCCTTCCGCTTTCCATGATCTGGTCGACGATCTTTTGGTCTCTTTCGGCGGCCTGCTCGGCTTTGCGGCGTTGAGCAGCCTGCTTACGCTCGAGCTCCTCGTCATTGACCGCGTCTGCTTCGTCATCAGAGTCCGATTCCGAGTCCGACGCAGAGGCGACGGCCTTGTCGTCCTTCTCGTCATCGGATTGCTCAAACTGAGGAGCCGTGGGGTCATCTTGGGTATCGAGGTCGGTGCCGACGCGGTGTTTCATACGCAGACGCATGTACTCTTCGTCGGTGAGACCGACGTCGTTGACTGCTGCATCCGGTTCTGGCTCGGATGCATCGTCGGCGTCCGCCTGGGCGCTGTTTGATCCCGTTGCGGCCGCAGCAGCTGCTGCCTCTGCCTCGGCTTTCGCCTGCTTCTTGGCCTTCTTGGCGGCCTTCTTCTCGACGGCCTCTACGCCGGAGAAGATGTCGTCCATGGTCTGCTCGGGCATCGCGTCTTCGTTCTGCCATGCCTTTCGCTTTGCTTTGGGTTGCATGACCGACATGAACTCTTCAAACGAGATGGCGCCGCCCTTTTTTGGCTTCTTCTTGACGCCCTCTGCGTCATCCTTGCTCGGCTTGCCCTTGGAGGCGTCAAGACCATGTGCGCTGGTGGAAGCTTGCGAGTCCTGGCCGGTGGCGGCCTTGCGCTTGTTCATGCGCTCTTCGCGCTGCTTGGTAAGCTCTTCGTCGCCGATCTTCTTGGCATGCTCGATCGTGATGCGTGAAGTGTCGATGAAGGTGCGGTTGAAGTAGTCGAGCGCCTCCTGGGCCTCTTGTTCGGAACGGTAGCCGACGAAACCAAACTTCCTCGAGGTTCCGTCGGGCCGACGCATCAGCTTGACATCGGTGACGGCGCCCTTCTGGGAGAAGTGTTCTCGCAGCCGCGCATCGGTGAGGTACGTGGGCAGGCCACGGACGATCAAGCGCGACATGGTGGGCGGTTGTGTTGTGTGTGTGTGTGTG